ATATAATTTAATGTAGCTAGATACATTTTCAAATAGCTAGCTTGACTGTATTTCAAAGCTGACGTACCCATTATTACTTGGCAAGCTATAATTTAAAGCTGATGTACCCACATTTTAAGCTTCATTGTGGATATCCTCACACCCAGAGAATAGAGTATTGGATTTTCCCACATCATTTTAGAAGCAGACGCGTGTGTGTTCATCATCACGTCCTGTCTTTGGTGCACGTGTGGGGTGGCATGCCTTTTCGGAGATGCTGACTTATGCTCAGTGACTCAGAAGCTTTGTGGTTTTTGGCAGGGAACTCCTGAAAGATCACCCTTTCTTCTACGTGCCAGAGGTAATCGACGAACTCAGCAGCCAGCACGTCCTCACCACCGAACTGGTGCCTGGATTTCCCTTGGATCAGGCTGATGGACTTTCACAAGAGTTGAAAAATGAGGTATTCACCAGTGCTGGTAAAACTAGTGTTGCAATGAATGAAATGAAGTGAAACCAGACCAATTACATCTAGCAGGGTATCTGCAGGATTTTGAAAAATCAAATTTGAGGCTTTTGTAAGACCTTCACAAATAAAATGAATACTGTATGAGTGGGTTAGGGCAATGTCTTATCCATCTACAAACATTCAAAACATTATTTGTAATTGGATTATTAATCGGTTACTACCTTATTGGGCTGGAAAACCTATTTTTAGCTTACTTTCTAGTACTTTCAGTTCTCCTACTGTTATTTACAGTAATTTGCTTATAGCATTTGTTTAGCAAGTTATAGAAGCACATTCAAATTTGGTGTTGTATCAGGCCACATTGTATTCTAGGATGCCTGAGTCACATGGTCTCAAACGTGGCTAGTATGGAAGCCAGTGATCTTCCTGAAGCATTATCGCCACCTAGTGGTGGAAGTGTTTTATTGCATTAGTTGGGCAAAGTGTAAACAAGGTCATGTCCATACCAAAAAGAAAAAACATTAAGGAATGCCGTTAAAAAAAGTAAACTGTGTTGATCAAACCATAAATAGAGGAAATGATGCAGACTTACACGAAGGCAATAAATGTGACTGAAATTTTTCAACATGCCATACAGCTATGATTTAAATGCTCATCAGTTACGTAGTTTGTAAACATTGCAATAAAACAGTCTTTTGTTTTGAGTTCCAACTGATTTATGACATTATACTAAGCACTACATATTCATTAAAGCATAAATACTATGGATTTAAAGCAGTCCAGTGCAGGTGTAGTAACCATACTTATGTTTGCACAGATCTGCGAGAACATCCTCAGCCTGTGTCTGAGGGAGTTGTTTGAGTTCAGATACATGCAGACAGATCCTAACTGGTCCAATTTCTTTTATGATCCACAAACCCACAGGGTAAGAGCTATGTTCACTATCACTGATCTTTCCTGGTTATTTACACTGCTGGTTTAGACACACTTGGCTTAATTTGCTGTAAACCTGCTTGAATCCTGGTGTCTTTGAAGAAGCTGAAATATAAGAGTGTTTTGATGTATTAAACATTTGTTTGGTCACGACATAATTCCCTTACTTTCATTTGTTATATCATAGGTTTGAAGACTTCACTGTTAATCTAAAATGTAGAAAATAGGAATTATTAACCTTTGATTGGT